AAGGCGGGAAGGGATATCGTTAGGATAGACAGACTAGGAAAGACATTTTTGAGCCAACTTTGGCAAAGTAGAAAGGAACGATTGGCCATCGGTGATCGGTCCTGTGGGAACAATGCCCCGTCCTCTCGAGGACGCGTGGTCAATGGTCTAACCGCTAAGGCATGCAAACCATAAGAGTACGCCCCCCCCCGCCCCCGCTTTAGCTGAACTCCGGCCTTGTCGTTGAAAACCCTTCTTCCCCACCAGGAAGTCGCCATTGACAATCTCCTGTATGCAAGATGGTCGCAGGAAGAGGAACCCCGTGAGACCCTCTACCTCCTGGGGACCCCCCCCCCGTCGTCGTCGTCGTCGTTTGTCAGGCGCAGATACGTGGGTGGCTGGACCGAGCATGTGCCAAGCTCGCTGCGGCATGGGCGTGACCGCCTTGCCAGACGGGAAGGTCTTTGCCGTCGGTGGTTACGGGGGAGACTTGGTGTACCGGAGCTCTGTCGAGGTGAGCTCGATCGATCCAGTAGCCTCCTCGCGAGGATATTAAGCTTGGTTTGAGCAGGGGAATAGGGTTAGGGAAAGGGGTACGAAACCGCCCTCTCTTGTTGATCCCTGGTATTGTAATATTAGTAGCATCAAAATCCCCGGAAAGGCGGTCCGATCAATCGACCGCGTTCGTACTGCCCCCCCGGTGAGGGGGGTTTCGGCTGGGTGAGAGGGTATTGTCATCTCCTTCTGGTTTGTGGCTTCTCCTAGGCTGAATTTCAGATACTGAACCTTGAAGCGCGCGTGTGCGCGTGGACCAGCGGCATATCCATCTCCGAGTTTTTGTAGACCCATTCTCCTCGAGGGTAGTTTTGGGTCACGAACAAACCTCAAAGTTTTTTGACGGGCGCGTTTGGGGAATAATGCACGCGTATTTGAACCCAAAGCGGAACGGCTTCTGGTTCATTTGTTTTCTGTCTTTTGTCATCATTCTTTCTTGTCGAAATCAATCCCACATCGCGCTATTCAGGCATGGTATGGTACTTGCATAGGTTGTGGTATGGTGTGGTGGCGGTATCATGCACGTGTCACTCATACGTTCTCATGGTTTGGGTGCCACACTGAAAGTTATTCTCAACCGGTGCGCATGGCATGCGGGACGTCAGAAACTGGTTTATTTTCTGTTCCGTCGCTGTGGCTCAGTCTGATTGATGCGCCTTTCTTATCGTCGATTGATTGTTGTCTCTTGAAAAAACGAACTGTCGGCATATCAATGCGTTCCCCTGTTTAACCACGCTGCTTCAGGTTCTCGACCCGTGTGCCGAGCGATGGGCTGTAGTGGCTCCGATGAAGCGCTGTCGCACCGGGGTCGCCGCGACGGCGGGACCAAATGGCCGACTCTACGCCGTTGGTACGTGTGTTGTAGTTTGCCTGTCGTCTTTGATGGTGATGGTAGTGGTGCCTTCGTCATCGTCGTCGTTGTAGTTGTACAGTACATGACACAAGAAAACACACCCCCTGGACCAATTTTCAAAGCTCGATTACGCCACGACGAAGAGGATGCATGAACGAAACGATACATTTTCGAAAAGCTCTCGACGAGGCAGCTCCAACGCCACCGTTTTCGGCGCTGTGACTCGTTCTGCTGTTGAGAAATCGAGATTTGAAAATTGGTCCAGCGGGTGTGTTATCTCGTGTCATTTACGGCAGTTGCTGTTGTCGCTGTATTGCTGTTGTAGTAGTAGTAGTTGCTATTGTCGCTGAATTGCTGTGATGGTTGTTGTTGTGTCTGCGTCGGTGGATTTGGTGTTCGTGTGCACCTCTACAAAACGTGAAGAGCAAGGAGCGTTTTTGTTTCGACGATTGCCACGCGGCAGGGATTAACAAGAGTGTTTGGATGAAACCCTTACCCTCGCCCCGACACCCAGGTACTGCTGTATCACTACTCACAGTTCAACACACATAATGGTAGCAGGAAGCGCTGTCTTTTTTTTGCTTGCACGATTCAGTTGGACTAGTACGGGTATCAGAAGGTACTAGGTAGAGGCCGGAAGGATTTCCAATGTGAAGACAGCAACAGCAACAGCAACTGTCGCCCGGGATTTCCTGGTCGAAATAGTTGCAGAGACCACGACAGCAATGTTCCTCGAGAGTCCGTGTTTGGTGTTGCGTGTGTCGTGAATTTTGTGCATCGACCGCGATTATACCGGCTATCCCATGGCCGGCGGAATAAACGTGTGTGTTTGTGGGTCTTGTATTGATTTAATCTGGCGTCGATGGTGCTTGCATGTACAACCGGCTGACCAATAAATGACGAGAGCCATACAGCGGAACGGAACTCCCGTTGGTTGAGGTCCCCGAAACTGTTATTATTTCTTTCCCGTCGCCGTGGTCCCCGCTCACCGGCTGACCAGTGCAGTACAAACCGTTCGCCTTGGCGGGGCAGCGAAAAAGCCCAGAAGGCGTTCTCGATTCCACGGGGATCCCCTGACAAGGGAGGCCATGTGGGAGACGATCATCGCGCCTCCTCTAACAGCCTTCCTTCTGTAGTCTTGGGCTGTGACGACTTTTTTTCGTGTGTGTTGTTCGTGTTCTGCGTGTGTGTTTGGACAAGGAAGGCGGTTCTTCGGATGGATCTCACGGGCTCTCGTCGGTGGAAACCTTGGACCCGCGAGAGGGGAAGTGGAGCGCCTCCCCCCGCATGGTCTTCGGCCGGGCATTCTGCTGCGCGTCCTTCGCGGCGTCGGGCTGCCTGTACGTCGTTGGGGGCACGTCCTTGGCCACTGGAGTAATGAGGTGATACTTACGATCCCCCCCCCCGCACCAGAAAATAATCTCAGTCATTCCCAGCTGCCATCCGTACGCAAGGAAGTAAGCACAAGATGCCGAACACCCTTAGCAGGATAGCAGCGCACCCTTCATGCAACTCGCCGATACCTCATGGCGATTCGCGCTTGGTGATGTGAGAGCCTGGTCCGGTGAGAACCCGGCGTGCTCCGTCCCGGCTTTGTAGGGATGCGAGGTCAATGGTCTAACGACTACGGCATGCACGACTATGAGTAC